TCCCCGCCCCGGGAGGGATTGCCGCCCGGGCCGTGCCCGGGCAGGGTCGGAGGTGCCCGCGCTCCCCACGCGGGACATGGCACTCCGGCCCCGGGGGCTTGGGAGCCCCAAGGGTTGGGGCTTTTTTTGGGTGTATTTGTTGGTTGGTTGGTTTGGTTTTGCTACGTTAGACGAAACTGCAAGAGCCACACGATGTTACTCACCTTCGTCTAAACCTTGAATAAGTAGAAGTGTATTTCAGCAAAGGAGTGTTCTCTGTAATTCGTGGATTGTATCTCAGTTCTAAAAAAAACACAGCCCCTTTTTTTATTAGATCCGCAAAATAATTTATCAAGGTCCTCTGTACCAGTGAGTTTATAACTGTCAATAAAAAAATTCCTTCTCTAATGCCACCACATCTGGGAAATGTTTTCCCTTACACAATCAAAGTCCTAAGTAATCAGGGCAGATAAACAGGCAAATAGAACTACATAAAGTGAAAAATATTTCTACACACGCATGAAAATTATTTTTAAGCTCCTAAAATGGTTGCAACAGAATAGGGGTTTCAAATTGCTACAAGCTAAGCCTATCTGTATATCTAGAAAAGACAAAATCATGAGTAGGATGCTGTAGTTACAAGGTTTGAAATACCTATGACAGTGACTCAGGCTAATGGGGACTGTGACGATAGGTTAAATAAAGCAGAGAAGCAAATAAAACGACAGAAAACACACTTCGAGGTAAATGAAAACATAGTCACTATTTTGCTAAATAACAATGTTTTGGGATTTTTTTAAATCATCAGAGTAGCATTTACCTCTAGGAAGAAAACTGCATAAAGAGGAAGATAATACAGAGAAATTTAGTCACAGGTAAGAGACTAAGATTGTAACAAAAACTATTTGAAGACACTTTCTTAGATCCTCAGAGTATACAGAAAAAAAACCCCTAGATGTACAGAACACCCACAAGAAGTAGCTGGGCCATGTGAACCAGCACATTACAGGATGCAATTGAAAGATAGACTCAAATTAGGAAAAGAGAAAATTTTAAAAGCCATTAAAATTTAACTTTTGGAAAACACAAATCCAGAACTAAGCAACTGACAGACCTCAAGGAACAATTACCAAAGGTGTAAAAGATCATTAAAAATATCAGAAACAGGAAGTTTGCTGGTAGATAATTGGACTAATATATTTTCAGGGTGTAAAAGACTCATTTTATAAAAAACAAGGCAATTGCAGGAAAACTAAGCTAGTCAATTGCAGTGGTGTTTACTACAGTGGAAACATCTTTTCTCATGTGAAAAAAAAAAGGTGGGGGAGTATTACTCAGAGATTGAGAGCTGGAAGCAGAAAGCAACAGTTTTCACAGTGAGAGAGGATTCCAGCAATGTCCCCTAGAATCTGCGTGGGAACCTGGTTATTCAAGGTACTAATACACCAGTTCCTGGGAAAAGGGATCATAGTGACCTGATGATACTAATGAATGATACAAACCCATTCAAGATGAGCAGATCGAAAGCAAACAGAGATGAACTGTGGAATACTATCACAACATGGAGCTGGGAAAAGAGTAAATGAAACTCACTGGTATTAAGTACAAAATAACGATCCTGTTAACCAGTAGTTTCGTGAGCACAGGAACTAATGAAGCCTCCTAGAACCTGCCGTTGAGTGACATTTTAATTGAATTATATTAAGGCTGCAGTGTGACTTCAGTCTTTATTACACATCAAAGAATCCACAGAGAAAAGCTCTGACTAGGGCACAAATTCCCTAGTATCTAATGAGACACGAAATCCTGTTGAAACTTTTTTCCTGCAGGTAGGATGCTCAGGCTGCTCCTGCAGGTCTGGAGTGACTTGTAGGACTTAGAGCTAGAGTGAGCCTTGCCTTCACCACACACACTCAAGGGACCTTCCATCTGGCTTCCTGTTTCTATCAACTTTCAGAAAATTTATGGAAATTTCAGACAGCAAAACCTTCATATAATTTAATTTTCTTGATATTAAAAAACGGATGTAAAATGTAAAGGTAGCAACAAGGCATTAACAGTGTTTTTCGACGACCATGATCAATCTAATCCCATATAAATCAGCAGTGCTGTTGGGGGGAGCAGCCCAACCTTCCTCTCCCTCCCTCCGAAAATCCCTCACCCCCTGCATCTCCACCTTCACACACGTTTTCTTGGTGCTGGTGTATCTACACTCATTCATCCAGCTGCATCAGCCTGAAAACTGCTCCAGGAAACAAAATTGTTTGTTTTTAACTAGTTTGCCTGGCCCCAGTGCAAGGTGAGGGCAGAGGTGGCTCTACTGGCAGCAGCACAGATCTATACCGAATTAAACAGGGTACAAAACTGCCTGAATCCTGACACATTCAGTCCTAAATTGGGTATTCCTCCATCTCTCATCATCGGGGAAATGGTTTCAGGTAGTAACAATGGGTCTCTCTTTGTACAATATACAGTAATTTCTGCTTTCTTTCATGACCTTTTCAGAAAAAAAAAATATAATGAAGACTACAGCAGTTGCCTTCTCTTTCATACAAGTGCAATCAACATTTAGTCTCTCCAGGTCTTTCATCCAGAAAGACTAATAGCTTCAATGGATATCCACTGGCAAGGGCTGGGTGGCTCACCCCAAGCAAGCACTCAGGTGCTACCCTGAAGATTTATGCTCCTGCTTGCACCTTCCCTCTCAATGAGCTGAAAGAATTCTGCATTTCAGCAGTCAAACAGCTCTGACAGTGGACAGCACACACATTGAAAGGAGCTGTACTATGGTGGTGTTGCAGGAGTCTTCTGAAATGTCCAACATGTGGGCTCGATATACGGGAAAGACTTAAGTGTGAAGTAAAATTCAGTGAAAACTCATCCTCAGGACTCATCACCGTTTCCAAATAAAAATGCATCCTCTGCTTTGTCACATGTTAGCAGGTCTTGGTGCCTGAGTGCTGAGAGCCCTCGGGGCAGGACACACGCAGGACAGCAGAGCTGACAGCCTTTGCTCCAGGGAGGAATGGCACACACAATACATCTCCTTCAGCATTTCCTGCTGCCCTCTCCAAGCAGGTTCTGGGTCTGTCTGATAGTAACTCTTCACATGTGGAGAGACCTACTTATGTATTTTGTGCTTGCTATGGACCCTGCTTTAAGGCACTGAAATTTTGCTGTACATTGGTTAGGGAGTCTGGACATGAGACTTGGACAATGAAGTGCTCCCATCCTTCCTTGAATCTGAGTCACAGTGATTTGATTTTTTTGCCACATACTGAAGAGTGAAATCATAAAACTTTTTAGTAGAAATATTACTGTAATTGAAAATTTATTTTAGTTTCTAATGTCACTGAGTAGGTACAGTTTATGAAAGCCAAAGTCCTTTTCTGCTACATTAAAAAGAATAGACATAGCTCCATTAGAAACACCCTTGGCACTCCCACTAAACTGAAGAGTGCACATGCAGAGAAAACACTTGTGTTCTGAGTGTTCTCTAAGAATGATTCCAAACACCACTGTCAACAGGTAGGAAGTTCCTCCCAAAGCCAGAACATGCCCCACCTTCACCCCAAAGCTCTGAGGGCCAGTACTGCAAGCTGACACATCACACAGGATTCCTCTCAGTAACTCCTTAAGACTTAAAACTAATGCATTAATCACGTTAATGATAACCCATTAATGTGAAGAACCTGAAGATAAAAAGGTAGAACAAAAGATCTGCTCTGTAGCAACAGTGTTACAGCTTTAGGGCAATACTGAACTATGAAACTGGACTGGCTGGAGGGTGATCATTGTCAGCAGAGCATGTGAAGGGAATACCATGGTTTAGGAGAGCAGAAAATGATGGCATAGAACATTAATATTGCTACAGAGGAATTGGTTTGTGTTGAGAGTGTAACCTGGAAAGGTGACTCGAGATGGTTACTTCTTGAAATCAGGCCCAAAGTGTTTAAGGACCAAAATCATAAACCTTTTATTTAAGAGCAATACACTTGTTTATGTCGTGGCAGAGTGATCCCTATATACTGATCTCAGTATCTTTATATCAGAGGGCAGCATGTCAGCAGTTTGAACACTTCCAGTTAATTATTACTAGAACATTTTGATAATGACAGTGTATTTTGAAAAATGAACAAAATGAGAGAAAAAATAATGAAAGTTTACCAAAAAAAAAAAAGGGGGGGGGGCCAAACAACCCTGGGAGCACTGACTTCAACAAGTTCAACAAATATTCAAGCCACATTTAATAACTTTATAAAACTAGTATCAAAGTAAAGAATATATAGTCAAAATACAGAAATAAAGTTGAGTGAGACGAAACAGCCTGATGAGATCAAACAAAAGTTAAACAGAACAGATTAATATAAACAAGTTAGCTGAAAGGTTGCTTTGCTTCGTGCATTTCAGCAATTCCTTTCCTCGGTAGCCAGCTTAGAAGGAAAAAAAAGATATGCATCATTTTCAAATCCTGCTGTATGTGTTACTGTGACTGTTTGTAGAAACAGCGTCACCCCAATTTGCAACCCATGTTAATTTCTTATTTAATAAACACGGTGGATTTCTGTTTTGTAAGAAGACAAAAGTTCAGAATGAAGCATCTGCATTCAGCTTTCCATTACACATACATGTATCATTCTGTTGGCTATGAATACTTTTATTTGTGAACTGCAAATTATTAGGATTTGCTTACACTTCCGAACCTTTTGTTTGTCATAGATACTTCACTTCTAAAAGTGTCTGGTGTAGCACTCACTAATTACAGAATTACAAAAGGTAGAATAAGGCTTTCCCCGCTCAGAAATTTGTATTTTTGGTAAAGGTAACAATATATCAGCATCACTAACACCCTAATAATAGGCATACATTGAATTTCATATCATCATCCTTCCAAAGGAAAAAAAAAAAAAGAAAGACTAAAAGATGTGTGCAACTGGTTTTTGCTTAGTATAAAATTTTCAAATCAGAACTCATTTAGCTACGATAAACACTATGAATTACATATAAACATAGGTGGAAAACAATGTGCCAGGCTTTAAAAGAAATTTGATTAGCAGATGATGATTCTGTAGTGCTATTGTGCACTATCCTGTAAGACCAGAGATTAAAAAAGAAAAAGAAAAAAGAAAAGAAAAGAAAACCCAAACCAGTTTGGATGCAGGTTTGGCATCAACTGCACATTATGGTCTGAGACTTAGTATGCTCATTCTAAGGTTGAGAAATTTAAAGTACCAGATTTTTCCACATGGGATAGCAGGTAGCTGGTGCATACATTTCAGACAAGAGAACTAGGATTTCTTTAATTTGAGACGGGATCAATGATGTATTGTTAAAATGTCCAAAGTGTGCAACAATAAGGCAGATTTCTTATTACACCACCCCTTAAAATACCTATTGTTTGATGAACCAAACAAGGTGCTTTAAACCAGAAGAGTAATAGGAGACAAGCAAGTGCCAGAATGAAGGAAAACTGCTAAAATGGGAACTGCCCTTTCTTTCACAATGAGAAATAAAGAACTTTTGTATCTGGTATTTGAAAGGTTTTTAACAGCTGATATTCAATATCAGCTGATTCCTGAAGTGTTGGCAAGATACCAGGTCTCTGGTACTGGCCATTTCTAATGTTATTTAAATATTCACATCATGCAATAAGCAGTTTCACACTGCAATGTAATGGAAAATACTTCCTAAACTGAATCGGAACTGAGACCCAAAGCAGAACCAGTAAATAAATATCTTGCATATATGTCAAACTATATTCTCCAAACAAAACCTTACATCTTATCAAAGAAGTCAGAAAGTACTAACAAAAATTATATGCTTTCTACTATAATACTGTTAAATTTTCATGGCTGAGAATGTCCCATTAATTTTTTTCTGCCTTTTGTTTTTTTTAAATTAGTTGACAAAGTAGAAATTCAAACACAGAAATAAAATGCATATATATGAGAGCACTGGCTCAGTGAGATATCAAATATACAGCATTCTAGTGTCAAAAGTACAGGCAGAAATGTCCAAGATTTCTTGGTGAAAAAGGGGCATTTGAGGAGTAAAAATCCTACTTAACAATCACTCACATTTTAACAGTGCATTAATTATAACAAAAGCGGGATGATAAGTGAGCAACAGAACCATAATGTTCAGTGTTCATAGCAGAACTTTATCCTCTGCTCATTTAAATGAGGTTGGAAACATATACTCATGTGTGTGAAACTTTAAGTAGCTATGTTTTTTCAATTTTTCAGGATTCTTGCAAGAGGCAAATTGTGACACGGAACTGAGCTGGATGATAGTACAAGGTGGCGTTGATAGAAGTCTTCCTTTCGATGCTGTGCCTCTGGCTTATCAAAGGATGATTAGTCCTACAATCTTGTTTGATCTATTCTTTTGCCTCTAGGAAAAGGGTTTCTTGAGGATACAGTTTTACCTCCAGTAATGATTTATTTGGATCCAGCTGGGTCACCTGTAAAGACAGGAATACAAAGATAGGTGTAAGTAGACTTTTTGGAATTGCCTTCACAGGGTGGATTTTCACTGGGCAGATTTTTGAGTCCCTCCATCAGTGATAACTGAAGTTGTGAGTATGATTTTTCTGGATGCAGATTAAGAAATATATATTGCATTTTCTGTTGTTGTTATTCATTCCAAGGAGGCCTGATTCTCTACCAAAAAACCAATGCATGTTTTTGTGAATGTTAAGGTCTTCCGGAAGGATTACTAGATTACAAGATAAAATGAAAAATGAAAGTGTTGTCCTAGATAAGTATCTTAAAATCTCAATCAAACCAATGGTGAAAGCAGTATAGCCAATCCAACGTGATCTCTCAGTTGAAAGGGGAAGCTTATTCTGCCTTTATTTCCCCTTTCTTGCTCCAAGTCATATGGTGAAGCACATAAATTTCACTCCCTTGGACACTTACCAGTCACCTCAGCCACCCTAGGCTGGGAGAAAACTGTCCACTTCTAGTTTGGTTATTTTTCTGTCGTGCTAGTGAGCCTAACTGGTGAACACACCAGTCCAGTCAGCACCAAATGCAGCGTGAGGTGAGAAGCAAAAGCCCTAAGCAGCCAGCAGAAGGGAGGAAGCAGGGCCCTTCCTCCTCTCAGTGGGGGTGAGATGCTCAATCAGCTCACTGTGTGGTGAGACTGCACCTCAACCCAGCTCCTCAAGGGATACTTAATGTGCATATGTGTGTGTATGAGCACTGTAAGTACTGTGTGTCTGTATACCACTTAGGTAGACTCTTAGGTGTGTACATTTGCACTGTAGGATTGCTCCCTGGAATCCTAACTCCTTGTTGGATGTGTGAAGGTATTTAGGCAACCACTTGTGCAGGTGGGCATACAGGAGAGTTCCAGTGAGAGTCAGATGCTGTGTCATATGGAAAAGAAGGATACAGCACTGTGCACCATTAGTGCCAAAACTCTCCAGCACTTGGGTCCCAGCACCAAGCCCTGCAAGCTGCTCAACATCCTGACTGTCCCAGTACTGACTTTCACTTAAGGTACATCAGCAATTCTCAGTTTAGAGTCCTCGAGAAAGTTTTGTGTTCAGGATTCTATTTAGAAGCCAGACTGCTGCCCACAGGATAAATATTTTCTGTGACATCTAAATTTCATTTCAAATATTAGATAATTACTTATATAGACCAAATAATGGCAACCAGGGTCCCAGTGGCCTTCAGATGTTCATGTTCACATGCCAATGCTGTCACATCCTTCAGAAGACTACTGCAAAGCTTCATGTACAAAGAAGAACATGACTTCTTTTAATCTTCAATTTTCTGAAATTCTTCACTTCCATTTTTAGACTTATTTTCCTTGGAAATTTTGTTTTATTTTGTTGTGTGAGCACACTAGTTATCAGAACTTTGCTTGGGAATAATAGATTATTAGTCTCATGCTACAGGTATAAATGCAAATGTATACCAATAAACACTTTTTCCACAGCTAAATTTGTTTCATATATGATCATAGCATGCACTGTTTTCTAACACTGATTTTAAAAAAATATTAAGGGCCAAGCACACCAAATGCTATGAATTAATAAGAAACATTAATGTATTTTTTCTTAAAAGCATAACTTACTAATCCTGTTATCTATTAACAAAACAATATTGCTCCTCTTTACTCCCTTCAACTAAATCAGTCGAACTTAAAATATATTTGTATTTCTATTGTCTTATTGGATAATTAGAGAAAATTAATTATTTAAACAAACATTCAAAGCTTATCACTACCTAAGTCCATCAAAATCAGTGTAATTTCACCTGACTGCAGCAGATTTTTTTTTACAAAGACAGAAAAAGCCCAAACCAAACCTAAAATCCAAACAGATGCATCATTTTTATTCCCAAAGCTGGAACATATTTTCTTAAACTTCAGGGTACCATGGTGAGCTAAACGTCTGAAGAGAAAAATAATTTATAAAAACCAGACTCAATTTTAGATTCCTATTATCTACAGTCCAATTATG